TTGAAGTCTTTATGTGGGGCCAGTGTTATCTCTGTCAGCACACGCTGAGTGACCGGAGCAAGTCCCTTACCCTCTCTGTGCTCCCAGCTTCCTCTCTGTCCGTGGGGATCCCGGGAAGCTGCCCTGCAGGGCTCAGGGGATTTGATGGAGTAAACAAGGGCCATGCTGACCACAGCACTTACACACAAGATGAATAATTACACACATATTCTTATGGCTTTCCTTTTTTTCTAAGCCAGTCTCTTGTCATCTCAAGAAGGCTCTTTGCAGAAAGTGTCTGAACCTCTGCACCTTCATTCTGTGTCTCTGGCATAGTCAATGTCTTCCATATTTCTATCGAGTCCATCAGAAAACATTTCTGGTGTTTCCTTTATTATAAAAAAAGTAAACATGCTATTGAAATGACACATCCATCAGGAAAGCCTTTGCATAGGTTTGTCTTTAAGAAATAGTGAATCTACATATTCAAAAATAAAAGGTCATGTCCACCCAGCAGATAATTGATCTTTCTTTTGACCCAATTTCTGCCTGCTCAGTTTATAGCAAATTGACATGGACACTGATCCCCCGGACCTGGTAACTCAGGGTCTCAGCAACAGTGACACAACGTTTGTTCCTGAAACAACCTAATGACAGATACTCGCGGGTGCGACTCTGCTGTCTCGGGACAGTGGCCAGCTCCAGCGCCCATGACAACACACTGGCTATCCAGACTTTGGCCGTAGAGAAGTGGCGGGTCTGTAAGAAGCTGTGCTAACTCTGACGTACTCATCATCACCAAGACCTGGACGACAACCACGTAATAAAGTAACCATCTGTAATTTCATACTGAAAAGAAGTGTATGCTCGCATTTGGCATCTAGGGAGTAAAATAAAACATTTTATGAAAATTAAGATCACCGATTTCTCTCACCATTTCATGCAAGATCACAGAGTTTTTACACTGCGAATGCATTTACACTATATTTCTTGGGGCCCTATGATTCTGAGTTGTCAAGCTATGTAATATTTGGAAATAAAAAGGAAGCTCTTTTCGCGAGTCAAATTAGCTTATTTTCCAACTTTCACACTGTTTAAATACGACCACAAATGT